CACTTGCTACCACAGACATTGTTATCTTTACAGACAGCCTTTCAACACTAGAGACACTTGAGAGTGGGACTGATGTGAACAAAGATATATATCACATCACACTTGATTTGGAGTCTACATAGATATCTAGTTTGATAAGTAGGCACCAAATCAGAGTAGTCCTATAATGGATTCCTGCTCACACTGAGATATCAGGAAATTAAAGAGCTTATGCTCTAGTAAAGAAAGGAGCTAGCCTCCCTCAGCCTGATATTCCTATTAATTACACCACCTGCTGCCAAATGATCAAGTCAAACCTCAAGGAAGACTGGATGAATGCTTGGGCTACAGGTACGACAGGAAGGATGATGTATGGCCACATGAATAAACCACTGGTCAAAGATCCAATCAATGAGTTGAGGAGGGGAGATCAATCCGTAATCTTCCAACTTATTAGAACACAACATGTACCCCTCAACCAACATCTCAACCGAATTGGAGTAAAGTAGTCTGCTGCCTGCCCGCTATGTGACTACCCCTCAGAGACAGTGGAACATCATCTGTTCTTCAGTAGAAAACTAACTGATTTGAGGGAATGTTTTCTTCCCAAGCTACCCCACACATCTATCTGCCTCTACTCCTCAAGACAACAATTAGAACAGACATGCAGCTATTACTATTACAGAATGGCATCATGCAGAAGAGTTAACGCTCAGATGCTACTGGATCGCTAACAACAACAACATGTTGAATTAATTTGACTATTTTTATTTTGAGCTTTCAATGCTGCATTTGACAATTTGAGCTCTTTATTTTGACATAATTTGATCGGGAAAAAGTGTAAAACAAATAAAACAAAAACCAGATGTTCTATGATTGTGATGTATTATTCTTATACCCAGTGCCCATTGACAAGATGGGTTCAGTTTTGTTCTGTTCGGTTCCTGGTGGCTTCAGTGGACAATCAAACGTTTTTTTCAGTTTGTGCTACGCTGGTAGCTTTTCTTCTTCCATGGAGGAAAATCTGGCTAGCCTCAACAACCAAACCAAACCGATACGATCTTGCCAATGGGCACCGGGTGTTTATTAATTAGATTGTGTGTTGTCAGTGAATAGACATTGTTAATGTTAACCCTTCAGACCCAAGCCTAGCTGTTGTCCCACAGCAGCTGAGGTGCATGGATCATGTAGTTGCTGTCTCAGAATTACAAAGTTCTGTCTCCTCAGGTACCTAGTTTTGAGAAATTTGAGGTCAAAGATTTGGAGTCTCATATCATGTCAAGCTTTTTCGAATGCAAATCTTTGCTTATTATCTTGATAACGACTCCGAATGATTTTAAGATTTTGATAGAGCAGGTGGAACATTTGGTTTCTGACCTCATTGTCTTAGTAGGCTACTCAGAACAGCCAAAAATGTGTGAAAGAACTTTGTAATCTGAGGTAGTGGAATGTAAGCTCCAGGCGCCAGAGCTCGAAGGGTTGTGGGACATAGTTTATTTTTTACATTTTTTTCTGTGTATAATAATAGTAATAACGGTTGCACGTGGAAGAACTTAGTTTTAGTTTGGTGTCTGTGTGTGTGTATATAAGTGTGTGTATGTGTGTGTGTGTGTGTGTGTGTGTGTGTGTGTGTGTGAGTGTGTGCCTGTGTGTGTGTGTCTGTGAAGTTGTTGTTTATTTTTTAAAATGTATTAGTGATTAAAAATTTTTGGGTTGGGGGGGGGGGGGGGGGGAGAATTTGTATTGGGTACGTACCTCTGTCTTTCTGCTAGGAAGTTTTATCCCTCTCAGCTAGACAGGATCAAAGCCCACTTCCTGAATGATCTAAATTAAGTCGATGGGGGTGTAAATTATTTTAGTTTGTTTTATTTGGATAAAGAATTTTTTTTTTTTAAGTGATTTCATGTGGCCATTCACTAGTGTCAGTGTGGGCCTTTCTGAGCCTGAAAGTACATGTATAGAAAAGTCAAGTGCGTACAGTAGGCTACACTCTCATTTTGTTGGGGGGGAAATAGTAAATAGTAATGTAGATTGGGGGGGGGTCTCCACAGACATCATTACAGAGGTGTTAGGAGACCTACAATTCAATTTTTTCAGATAAAAATAGTAGTGAAAATGTCTTTTTCTTTTAACAAAGATTTCAGAGGTGTGAGGAGGACCTTCTATTCAATTTGTCGAGGAAATAATAGTAACGTCGATTTTTTATTGTTATTTTTTTCCTCTCCGCAGACTGATCATCACAGCACAGAGGTGTTAGGAGACCTACAATTCAGTTTGTTGGGAAAAGAAATAGTCATGTAATTTTTTTTTATATACCGTCATTTTGTCGGGGAAAAAATTATAGGGCCTAATGTAGATTTTTTTTTTCTTTTTTCCACAGACTTATCATCACAGAGGTGTTAGGAGACCTGCAGTTCAACTTTTACCACCGCTGGTTTGACGTGATCTTCCTGGTCAGTGCTGTGTCCAGCATGATCTTCTTGTACATTGCCCACAATCAGAGCCCAGAGAAAAGCCTGCACAGATAGCCACCGCCCGCCTGGGGCAGGGTCCTCGTGTTTGTTTGTGTTCGGTGCTCGTCAAGTTTGGTGTTCGTCGAGCTCTTGTGTTTTTTTGTCATTACTTTATGCTTAATGCTGTACTGGATTCTACTTCGGAGAAATTTTGATTGAAACTCTTTTCATGTCTGTCTCCTGTGTGCTGGCAGTTTTTTGTGGTTGACTTGTGTTTATTATTATTTTGTTTGTTATCGTTTTTGTTTACACACACACATACACATAATACACACACACACTCACTCACACCCACACACACCCAGTCAAACCTGTCCGAGACATCCACCCATTGTTGAGGAGAGAACTGGTCGTCTTGAAAGCTGATCTGACTATGTCATTGTGTAATACAGAAAAAAAAAGGAACACAAAGGGTCAAGGGAAGAGTGGTCGTTTGTATAGAGGTGATTGTCTTTGACAGGTGGTCATTAACAACATGCTACCTCTGAATTGCAAATTTCTATGTGACATTTTGGCTGTTTTGAGAGTCAGTAAGAGTAAGACCATGAGGTCAGAATCAAATGTTCTAATTCTCTCTGCTCTATCAAAATCATGAGATTATTCGGAGCCGTTATCAAGATATTCAATGATTGAATTGCGTTTGAAAAAGCTTAGATCTAATTAACATGAAACTCAAAATCTCTGACGTCAAATTTCTCAAAACTAGGTTCTGAGCAGATAAAACTTTGTAATTCTGATGTAGCGAATAAGTAGGGCCTACATTACTGAACCCTACATTCTTTTTTCTTTTCTTATTTTGAATTTTTTTTTTTTTGGGGGGGGGGGGCGCACACAGCTTCAGGCCTGCCAAGCAGCTGAGTAAAATATCAGATTTCTCAGATTTGTTCCCCCCTCTCTGAAAGTGAAAGACTGAATTTAGTTCTGCAGAAACCAAACTGCCATGAGGCCCTGTGCGATCGACTGTGATAGACAGAGCACGAATAATAATTATTATATTGTAGCCTGCCAGAGTCGTTCTTTCCCGAGTAGATGCACATTATATTTCATCATGTATGTTTGTCTCAGCTGAGGGGAGGTTTGTTAAGAGTCAATGCAAGTCTTCTGGAGTGTTGCTGGCTACTGTGTTGGGGTATTTGGGTTTTTTTTTTATATATGTATGTTCTATTCTGAAGAAACAATTTGAATAAATTAAGTCCTTCCTTACAGAGATCAGAGACTGGGTGGTTGGTGGGTGCTCTGGTGTGGTTTGCTCCTTTCCTCCTATCAAAAATCTCTATCGTCCTTATCTCTCCTTTTTTTTGTGTATGTTACTGTAGCACATCTATTCTTCAGCACTTATATGACCTTATTGTGTTGCAAGTGCCGTAAAACTCTTATGAAAACTAAAAAGAAATTTAAAAGACTGGTTCGTTGAAGTTTGTCTCAAGTGGACTCCAGTGTGATGAGATGCTGCTGTGAGTAGTGAGAGTGAAGAATGTGATGGTGAGTGAATGAAGTGTAGAAGACCTTTTTTTTCTTCTCATTATGAACTGTTTCTTTTATGCTCATATTTTTATGTGCTATTATTTTGTTGTTGTTGTTCTAGCCAGTCATTGCTGTTGACTGAATTTACAGCCAGTCATTGCTGTTGACTGAATTTACAAAAAATTAAAAACAACAAACAACAGAGGGAAAAGAGCAGAGGTCAAAATTGTTCTTTTCCATCCTTGTTTGTCTTTGTCAGGTCAGTCAGTTGTTTGGCTTCATCCCTTTCATTGGTCGAAATATATACATTTGTACAGAGTTCCAAAAGTTCTGTCACAGTCACATCCATCTCTTCAAAGTACCGGTACAATAACTCATTTAGTCATCAACCTAGCCGAGCGAAATTTGGCACAGATGATCTTCATTCATTAGCTGTCATATTTTTTTTCATTTTTGCTTCAATTCATACATATTAGGGAAAATTATCGTAGTATAATGGGTGTGACAGCACTTCTGCAACTCAGCACAGCATTTTTCTTTAAAAAAAAGGGCTGTGGCCTTTTTCCTCACTTCACCCCGGTGGGAATGGATACCTGGACATAGACAGCTAGAGATCTTGCCAGTGTGTGATGTTTTAGCGCCTGTAAAATGGCAGCTGGCAGTGTATGCTTCCCAGGAAATTGACCTTGTTTTAGAATGCTATCAGGTCTGCTGGGGATAGACTGTAAAGCACATAGAGCACAATACAAATGCTATCTCTTACTATTAGTATTTTTATTATTATTATTACTATAATTTATAATATATAATATAATATAATATATATTATTCTTATTATAATACAATATTTTAGACCAGTCAGTTCTGACTCGCAGAGTCAACATTTCCTGAAAAGTATCAAAAGTGTTCCATTTTGTGCTCAGTTTAGCAGTCAGTGTCTCCTCATGCCATTAACTTCACATGCCCAAAAATTGACGAGCGCCTGATTCCAACGCACTGTGACTCGTGACCTATCATTTGAATGCCTCCATTACGATGTATTTGACATTTTGGTCAAAATGGAATGGTCTTTTCAGGCTCTCGGCCCACTAAATGTTTCTTTTTGTCCTTTTTTTTTTCACTCCCAGTAGTTACCATTGTCAATACTAGTCGCAAAACATGCATTAAATTAGATTTAAAATCTTCATCCAGTAGACGGCTACAACCTCCCTTGAACCTCATTCTGTTCCATCAAAGTATCCTCCTCAGGTTGAAAATGTTTCCTTTTTTTTTTCTTCAGTTTCCAAAGGCAGCTCTGCAAATTGTCATTCATAACCACCCATTTCAATCATACAAGTCAACAAATAGTAAGAAAAGCGTCGGTGGCCTAGCGGTTAGGTTCTCGGACTCGCAACCGTAAGGTCGTGGGTTCGAATCCCGTCAAGGGCCCGACGTTGTGTCCTTGGGAAAGGCACTTTACACGAATTTTCCTCACTTCACCCAGGTGGGAATGGGTACCCGGCTATAGACAGCGAAAGATCTTGTCAGTTTGTTAGTGTTTGAGCGCTTAATCGGCTGCTCGCACTGTATGCTTCCCGGGAAGCTGAGAATGTTTCGGAGTGTTCTATGGTCTGCTGGGGTAATAATATAGTGTAAAGCGCATAGAGCCTGCTGTTGAGCGGGGATATGCGCTATACAAATGCTATCTATTATTATTATTATTATTATTTTAAAAGAGTCACCTACCCTTCTATATTCTTTCCAGTGGCACAATGCCTAACTAAAAATTTAGGGGACTCTTGTGGTAGAGAGGTTACGGTGTTCGCTCTCGTTCAATAGGTCCTGGTTTAAAATCCGGATAGCGACGGAAAATTTTCTTCTCTAAAACTCTCCTTTCACTTCCTGTCCTGCTCTCGAACAATGTTCTGTCATCTGCTTTCGTTTCTACTTTCTTCCCCCACCCCCTCACCTCCAAGCACAAACACCAAAACATTTAAAGCAGAATACAAAAAAACTTATAGAAAAATACCCTCGTGTGGAGTTAATCTTCACAGATGGCTCCAAACAGGACTCTGGTGTGGGCGCCGCAGCCCTATCTTCAAACAGTACACACCAGAGGAGACTCCATCCCGAAGCCTCCATTTTCTCTGCGGAGGCCACTGCCATTTACATGGCACTGGACTCCGTAGAAAATTCTCCTAACAAATCTTTCCATACTTTCTGACTCTCTGTCTGCATCACCTCACTTACAAACTACACTCTCCTACACCCAAAAATAGTTGGGCTACAACAAAAAAATACACGCCTTGACTGAAACTGGGAAAAGTACCGTGTTCACATGGATACCTACCCATGTGGGCATCCGAGGAAACGAGCAGGTAGATCACCTGGCGAAGAAATTCAGTTGGGATCAACGACGAACACTCTCCCACAGACTGACTTTAAAAATAAAGTAAAAAAGTACACCACCAGTCTGTGGGAGAGCCATTGGAAAAAACAAATAACAAACTTCACAACATTAAATTGGGACCGCGAAAGCCTTCGGGCCTTTCCAGAAGAGACGAAGTCATTTTTACTCGGTTACGCATCGGACACACGACCCTAACACACAAATACCTCCTTCAGGGAGATGAGAAGCCGTTCTGTGTCGGATGCTATGGACAGATTTTACCATTAGACACATTATAACCGAATGTCTAGACATCGGAGAGACCCGAAGGAAATACTTTAAATGCAAAAAATGGCAAGATATTTTTTCCGTCATTCCCAACAGAATGTTAGATTTTTTTTATGAAGGCCATTGGCCTTTATGGGAAATTATAAAGTGAAAATAAATTATCAAAAGTTGTTTATGTTATTTAGGATAGATCTAGTTGTTTTAGATTGGAAATAGGCCTATATATTTACACCGAATTTTAAATATTTTAACAATTTAAAATCTAACTATTGACCCGAGCCCAGCTGTACAGTGAACTGTAGCGAATAAAACTAACTTGTGTTTCGCGCGCTCATATGACCTTATGCAGTTGCGAGCGCCGTAATACCCCATACTAAACTGAAACCTCTGGGACTCTTTCTGCAGCCTTTCTACTGCTACTCCTTGGCTCCTTCTTACTGCTGACTTTCAGCCTCACCTCTGATCTTAGGGTAGGTAAAATCTAACACCTAGCTTTCTCGGAAAAGGGCAAAAAATCTAGGAGGTCCTGTGTGCAAGCTGCGTATGTTAAAGATCCCTTGGTGGTCCAAAATCGATAATAGGTTTCGGCCACCACCCGAGAAAAATTAAAAATTTCTACCAAAACTAAAAAATGTATGTGTCCCACACGCTCATATGACCTTTTATGCACTAGCAAGCACCGTAAAACATTTACCAAAAATTTTTTAAAATAAAAACAAGTCTGCTCAAGACGAAATTCTCTGGTCCCATGAAGTTCATGATAATGTACATGATCATAATATATGTAAATATGCGAGGCAGCGTGGTGAAATCAGGCCCTCATCAAAATAATGAAAGTAAAGAAACTGACATGTTTCCCCTGGTTTGGCGATTTTCAGCGAAATTTTGTTTTTTGGCTTAACACCTATGTCTATTTAAGAACCCATTTCAGTGTGAATTATATTGAAAAAAGTTGATGAAAGGCACAAAAATGTAAATTGTCAATTTCCACGGACACAAATTAAGCCGCCATTTTATCGCTATTTTTACCTCTAAAACCAGGCTACCCCCACCTTATTTAATCGCAAATATCTGAACATGTACTCAAGACAAATGTGTAATTCTTTCATCGAAAGCAAGGCAAATGAACAAGCTTTAAGGTGATACATGTACCAATGACTCCAAGATAAACGAAGAGCTTGCTGTCATTATCTGCCTTCGACACTGTTTAGTGATCAACCCAAGCCAGTGTTCGCTTGACCAAAATTGAAAAAGCATACTTCAATTCGCGAAACACACCGACAGGTAAAGCTGAACAAAGGGAAATTTTCGCTACAACTACAACCAAGGAGGTTATGAATAGAAAAAAATACTCTAAGGTCCTTGACCACAACCTACACAGCTTGCATCATAAAATAAGGACAAGTCTAGACAACTAGATTTTTGGCGAGATTGCCCTTCACGTAGAACAAAGAGAGTGATGGACATAGTTCTATCCTACCCTTCAGTCCATAGACACATAGGACTGGATGAGTGAATGTTTATGGGGTGACTGAAATGTTTTTTGATTGGTCAATCGAAATCCCTATTTGAGAGACACTTTATCACTGGCGTTTGGATGACTGTAATATTCAATTGGGTCTATGAATATATGATAATGATGCGCAACACATGTGAGTGCTGTAGAACACTAGACAGGCCTATAGGATTAAAAACTAGAAGGTAGTCGTGGATCGTTGAGCACTCTTTCCTATATAATGACCATCACCAAGTTTCCTCTTATCTGTTCCTGACATGATATTAGTCATTAGTTATCATACTCAGTACAGTCCCCTGAACATCCATGTCAATAGTAAACAACTGAAACAGGTGAAAGAGCACTTTTTCTGAAAACGGGTCCATAGACAGAGAAATAGAATTTATGCGAACTCAAAAAGCCAACGCTGTCACCTACCAGCTCGCACCCCTTCTATCTCATCCAAACATCTCCATGGACACAAAGAGTCAGCTTATCACCTCAATATTCATACCAACATTATGTTATCCGTGCCAGACCTGGACCTTAAGCAAAACCCAAGAAAGCAAAATCACTGCATGCGAAATGAAATGTCTCCGCAAAACCCTTAACATCACAAGACGAGACATGCAGGCAGAGAAATGAAGAAGTAAGAGCAGCTATCGGCACTGAGTCCTGCCTGCGTTACATAGAAAGACGGAGGATAAAATGGTTTGGCCACCTGTTACGCATGTCACCTGACCAGCCAGCCTTGAGAGCCTACGACACCAAGCACTCAGGCTATAAAGTAAGGAAGAGGAAGGCCACGCAAAAGGTGGATCGAGGGTGTCAAGGAAACCCTAACAAAACATAACATCACAACTGAAAGAGCTGTGGAGCTGGCCTACCATAGAAAACTGCATCTCCCCTCGACGCTTAACGGCAACAGAGGATGAAAAAGTAAAAGTAAAGTACTCAGTACAGTGAGTCAATCTTTCTGCTTTTCACCACCACTCATTCTACACCTACACAGTCGTGTTTCGTCTCAAAATCGCAAAAGCGACCCCCCCATCCCCCAAAGAAGGTCACAAAAATATCAAGGAAATGAGATGGTTGTGCCCCATGTCATCTTTGCACAGGACCACGTAAATTACGATAAATGTACGCTTTGGAGCCCTCTGGGGCACCATGCATTTAGGCGGAGACTACTCTATAATGATTTAAGGAAATTATTAGGTGAGCAAAACAGAGGAACTTGGAAGTCTAGACTAACAAAAGCATTTATTTGTAAAGTAAAATACAAGATTTACCAAAAGAGTGTCATTCCCTTGGTATCACTATAAGTATAATGCTTGGTTATGGTACAAACTCATAATATGCACACAGGTACATGAATTCAAAGTTCATTTACATTGAAAAGCCCTCAGAATTCGTTTCATTTGTTCAAAACAGCAATGACAAACTTCAAGTAAGGTGGACCCAAAAATTAACCAATTTAACCTGTTATTCAATTTAAATACTAATACTATTTGATGAGGCTCTCTTCGTGATGTTTAAATTTATATGCAATTATGTCTGTGTGCCTGGTTAAAGGTGCTATGACGCATTTGGAGGAAATTAATTTTATTGCATTTTCTGGTACAAAAATAATTTCTAAACAATTTGCTTTTAAAATTTTTAAGACAGCTTAAGCGCTTTGTGCGATCTGACTTATTCTGTCATGTAGGATATGCGTAAATAAAGTTTTGAGAAAAATGGCTTTAAAGTTTCCTTTAGATCTGGATCGAGTTCTACTCCAAATGAATACTGATCGATTGGACAAGCATGTTGTTCGTCTCCAAAACCCTTGACAACACTGCTACTATTCAAAGTGCAACTTGAAAAAAGCAGTTAAAGACAACTAAATAGTTTCAAAGTATCATTAAAACGTTTTTAAAGCAAATTCACAGTCAAGTAGAACTAGAAATTTCACAAAATGACTTCGCTTTGCTCACAAAGTGTGGGAGGGTAGGCGTATGGGAGAAGTCTCCCTTCACTTACTGGATCAGTGTATTCCTGCGCACTGCACGCACAGCACAAGAAAGCACACTAGCTGACCTAAGTTTTGATATATGCGATGAAAAGGGGTTGATTTAGATGACTGAGTCATAAAAAATTGTCGTAAATGACAATACTGGAAATTTTGAAGAGTGGTTTTGCTTTGCTCATGAAGTGGAATAGCGTACAAATGCGCCAAGCCTGCTATCCTGTTCTGTTACACTCCTGCCCACTTATCTGATTGAGATAGTTTACAAGCTGACTAAAATTGTGGTATGCAATGTGATGGGGTTCTTTTTTATGAACGAGTAGTAGAAAACTTCCGCCGTTGTAGGCTCTGACAGCGAATGCTCCCACGCAATCTTCATTATACTTATGCATAATGTAAGATGACTTGTGACAAAAAACATCTTCACAAAACTTTTTTTGTGAGTGTACTGTAAACACAAAGCCTTTTAAATATTGGTAGATAAATGGCTAAACAATCATTTTTTAATGGAACTCAATTTTTACCCTAAAAATCGATTTTTGATCTTTATTGCCCTGTATCCCAGTTCGAGGAAATGCATCTTGCAGTACATTCACCAGGCACGCACACATATATATAATATTTTTGTATGTACAAAGGATATGGGCATTGAAAAGCCATCAAAATGTATTTAATGGGCAATAAATGGTAAGTTCATAACAATGACAACGAAGATAAGTATACGCTGCACTAAAATACACTCTCAATATTACAGTGGAATCCACTTATAACGAGTCCTGAAATAACGAGAAGTCTGTTATAAAGACACTGTTCTAAAACCCAGTTCTTTCTTCTTCTTTATCTTTGTAAATAAAATACTGGCGCAATAATACAAACACGCGAGTCGGTTATAGCGGAATATTGCTGCTGCTGTGCACAGCGCATAGGTCATTTATTCATGTAAAACCTCACCAGTTGAGAAACTTGTAAGTGATCTTGCGAAAGAAAGAAAAGGAGAGCCCACGTGTGCCAACAATGAAGGCCAGAGAGAATGAGTCGGGAGGGCGTGGCATGCGGAGACGAGCAGAACGCACCGCGCGAGAGTCTAGATTATCTAGGCCTACCATGCCTCTCACTTTTCGGAAGCGGAGATGGAGAGGTCACAATGCTGTACAATAGATGGAGCGAATGTGTGAGTGACGTGCTCAATCAGACGGAACGCACCACAGGGTGTGGTTGGGTGGGGGACAACACAACGAGCAAATTTACCTAGCCTGCTAGAGAAAGAAACCTTATTCGATGTTTGATCAAATAAGACCTCCTAGATGTCATGTTGAAGAACCAAATCAAAATCAGGGGAGATAACGAAAAGAAATAAACAGAACACCAGACTCATAGTTTAGGCCTACTTTACCGTTTCCCTTGAATTTATTACTGGATCCATTATAACGAGAATCGTGCTATAGCGGACATTTCGCACCGATCCCCTCCCTCTCGTTATAACAGGATTCCACTGTATAATAACATCGAAATGAAATTAAAGTCTAATGGTCTAATTAATAATACAATTGGCTTGAAAGTTTTTAAAAAGTCTCATAACGCCTGTTTATGAAAATAACAAAATGTGTCAAACTAAAACAGTACATTCATGAAGAATCATCCATTACAATAAGCAAATGTTTGCCTTTTCTTTGCAACTTTTTTGCCTTTTCTTCGAATCTCTTCTACAATTTGACATTCTCCGATATCTTTCAAATATTTCGTACTACCGTATACCCTAAATTATAAATGATGCGTCGAACACATTTTTTGATTTCCTCACGTGTTTGAATTATCAGTGCTTGACAGTAGAACTATTCTAAAATTGTAAATTACAGTATTACAAAAGAATTATTTACTTCAACCAAAAAATAAAATAAAATCAAGCTGTAAACTAACATGAAAACAACCAACATGAGTTCTGCACACTCATATGTGAGGCAGCGTGGTGAAATCAGGCGCTCGTCAAAATACGAAATAAAAAAAGTCTGCATTTTTTTGGCGATGGGCAATTTTTTTCTAATTTTCTTTTTTCGGCTCAACACCATTAAAAACACATTTCTGTGTGTCTTTTTTTTACTGAAACATGTTGATTTAAGGCACAAAACTGTAAATGTGCAGCCTCTAGCAGCCTGTAAAGACTCAAGCTATGGAAGTCACCAAACTTTGGTGGCCATATTCTCGCTAAGTTTATCCGTGAAACCAGGCGACCCCATCACCTTCAATTGCAAATATCTCGACTTCTGGGGCCTATTAATGATAGATGAGTATTTTTTTTCACCGAAAGCAAGACAAATGAACAAGCTTTAACACGATACCAACAACTCCACATGTCCAAAAATTGACGAGCACCTTATTCCACCGTGTCGTGACACAAATATGACTTTATACAGTTGGGAGTGCCACAAAACTCTTATCAAACAGAAACTGAAACATTGAAAATAGTATATATATATGTATATATATGCACCATTATAGTTGTATTTACAGTGACATCAGACAAATCAAAGGACAAAAAAAAAATAGCGTATTAATTTAAAAACAACACACACGCGCGCGTGCACACACACACGCACGCACACACTCACACTCAGACTTGAGGTACATGTCAACAATTCTGCTTGACCAACCTGATTGCCACATTTGGGACAGTTCTCTCCTCCCCCCCTCGGCACTGTGCTGTCATAAGTGGTCAGCGATGCCCACAGCGCGCAGGAACTCCACTCGCTCGAGGGGGGGGGGGGGGGGGGGGGGGGCTTGAAAAGTTTGGGACAGTTGGCAGGCTTGCTTTATTTATCGTTAGTAAATGTGGCACAGCTGTCAAGTCTGAAATGAATTTGTACAGTTTAAACCCTTGTGACACTGTTACTCACTGTTAGGTTATTTAAGGGACAGGGCAAGCGCATTCGACATCCATCATCTCTGATAGGATGTAACCAAATGAGAAAATTCATGTAATGTGTCTTTCCCAAGGACACAACATCAGACAGAGCTGAGCCTCAAAATCTCTGAACCCGCAATCTCATGATGAGTCCAGCAGCCCCTGGAGTTTTATTTTAACTCTTTATTTCCAGCAAGCCTCTCCCAGTGCATTCCTTTACGTTAACTTGGACGTCCAATTATTATTCAGCAGCAGGTCTCTTTTACTGGGAGCCCTTTTATTAGAAGAAGAACTATAGAAATATGTTCACTTGTTTTGGAGTAATGACCAGTTTAGTGATGTGCATGTCAGTTTCAGATTTCATACCAAAATAAGCCCCCCCCCCCCGACACAGAGTTAAAACTACAGAATATTCAATTTCGTAAAATGTGCAGGAGAGCCAAACAAACACAGCTTTACAGCCAGTCTCTTTGAATATCTTCAAAACATTTTCCCCGCCATATTTCATTAAAATATTGATTATAATATGATACCACGCTAAGCCAGAATTTTGCGCCCTGTTTTGACCTATCAGGTGGAATCGATAAACTCAAATTTCATCCAAAACTAGATCTACAGTCTTTTACAATAAGACTCCAGGCCTAATCTATAAACTTCCAACACCATGCAGTCAAGTCTAATTCAGAGGCCAGCTCCAACCACTCTTATTGTGACTAGTAGAAAAAAGGTAATCTGAATTTTTCTCATAGCCATAGCTGTGGGGAGCTACTGAACCATGATGTGAACCCCATCCAACAGCCCACACAAAACCTCCGCTACTCCCAAAACATGTGTCTGCATCATAGGAGTAATATGATGCCAGCTCTTCGTCTACTCGGGCAATACCATACCCAAGAGTTATCCTCTTTTTATCCATATGGGGATGAGAAATAACAACTGATAAGCCTCGAACGTCATTAGTACAAAATTTATCATCGCAATAGCCCGTTAATTCAGCCCTTCTCTTACATAAAGTTCTCAGCTTTCTGCAAAAGTCAGCATCATGGGTCACACACATGAACATACCTCTATCTGCCGCAATACTGCTGTCTCCCATACCATGGCCTTTAAGTTTTACGGGGCAATGTTTACTTTTCATCTCATCCCAAAATGTCACATACGTTTTGATGCATTCACTCTCATCAAATACAACATGCGCAGCCGTCATAATGATTATCTCCCACCACACTTTATGAGGATTGTCAGATCCTTTGCATTCCTGACATTCACAAGGACCACTTTTCTCCTTCTTCCCTTCTCCATACTCTTCCACTTTCCACACCCAACCAGTGCCGCCCCGTCGATATTGAAAATTACCCCTGCTCTGATAAAACGGATATAACCTGTCTGAGCCTGGATACTTTTCTGGCCGGTCACGGCTAGTGAAGAAGACTGAGAGTTTCACAGTCAAATCAGCACAAGTCTTGATAGCCCGATGCAATTTTCTTTCTTTGTATTCACGAGGCAAGTGGTGTTGCCTGAAGTCGCTGACGTGACGAAAATTGTAGTGTCCTGGATTTTTCTTGCATTCCTTCATCAATGTGGCAGAGTCCGCCTCTTCACCAAACCAGACCTCCGTCTCAAACATACCTGATAGAAGACAGAAGCCAAAATAATTTTGTATGTTACCTTCATTTCGTTTGGAATATAATGTGCTAATCAATAGAATAAATATCTTCAAAGCCACAGTTTATCCGATACGCTAACCGAGCGCATTTCCTTAGAACTCTATGCAGCTTATATACACAGTATTATTTTTTTCTTTAACACTAGTTCTGATAATGCATCTCCCAGACTGGTCAGGTCACCCATCAAAATGGTTATGTTAATCCACTGACTCAAATCTGTACAGTCAATTCAGTCCTATCAGTCTCTTAGTCATGTAGCCCACACGAAACCCGTTACATTCTTCACCAATCCCAGATCTAGACCTTTCTCTGTACAGTCGTCTCAGCCTAAATGCACAGTGCTCCGCAGGGGTCTTCCCCGCCTAACCGTGCGCTTACACGGAGTGTGTGTTTACGTGAACCCATGCAAAGGGGAAAGGGACACAGCCATCTCATTTCCTCAACATTTTAGAGTTGTTACATCCCTTGAAGGTGGGATCAAGCACCTGGTCGTAAGAATAAAAGACCTAACATCTACCATGTACATATTATTATGGTAGAGGTACATGGCACCTCCCTATCAGAAATTTGAACACAGTCAAGCATGCCCCCAGGGAGTTGACTACACCGAATATATTTACATGGTATCTTTAACATATTGCTAGCCGCGTGATTCAACCACCTAAGTCAAGTAAGTGTCAAGAGACAAATTTTTCTATGCTCGTACCTACGAATCTGAAATTCAGATATATGATATAATATGAAATAGGACGATGGTCTGTAACCAACTTAAAAAAAAAAAAAGCTTTCTTACATAAGTAACTGGACATAGGCGGTTTAAAGCAACCAAATCTGCGTGATTCAGCCGCGTAAGTGACAGTTATGACGGCGTCTGGGCCTTTGAATCACATTAATCAACGCCACTCGACAACCGCCAATGATCGCTATGGCGTATGAGTAATCGACAAAAGCAAATCATAATAGATTTTAAGAGTAATTATAAAGAAAGGAGTAATTATTTCAGTTAATTGGTTGGGTCTTCTGGGGCAAGACTGTATTTGGCCTCACGGAGTTAGTAAAAAAGATCATCTTAACGTTCAATTTGCACTGGATGTTTTTGTACAGTGTGTATCAAAGGCAACGAACGTTTGAGACAATGGGGTCGTTTTTGTTTCAGCCAGGTCTGAATGGTCCAGAACTCAAGCATTATAAGGGATGGGGGTGTTGTCTTGCTTTCTTAAACACATTAAAGATTATCCGTGAGCACATAGACAATACTATTTTTCAAGGACCTTTCAATTACACTGTGTGTGCTGTCCACTTCCATTTGTGTTTGTTCTTTTTCTAGGTACTTGTATTCAACAGTTTTGTTCTATCTGGTACAAATGTCACTGATTGCATTTGGCAAGATAGCGTTGTGGTCTGATAAGTACAGCCATCACTGTACTGTGTGTATAATGAACCTGGCACTGGCATATTTATTGTCAGTAGGCTCCTTCAGGAAGTTACTCACACAAGAAGAGAATTCATTGGCAGTCAATGGTCCTTCTCCGTGCCAAACGTGACACTTCACATCTTTGGTTACCAAATCTTAAAAAATATAGACAGCTAATTTGGCCATGTTATGATACAGTGAAGCAGATGCTAACAAATCAGCTTCCAAGTCCATGCACACGAGACACAATCTGGTCCCATCTACTGAGTTTTGTGCAAGCTTCTTGTTAGATTCTTTCTCTTACCTTGCATACATCACATTGATCCTTTCGACATACACATAACAACAGTTTGCTCTTTTTCAATATCTCTCTAACGTCGTCTGGGACAATGTGTGACTCTTTCCATTTTCTTTGGTACTCTCTATAAAGGCCTCTGAGGCTTTGAAAGAGTTAGTCAAAATAGATTTTCCCTGTATTCTGTCTGTAGTAATGGGAAATCAATTTCGTCAAGTTTGTCGAAGAATTACTTATAACAAAATTGGTTGTCCTCTTCTGCTCTCTTGTATTTGACAATCGTGGAGCTCCCATCTCCAAGTCATATGAACTATCTTTGCAATAGTCATGAATAACCACTGTGTGAGGGGAGTCATATACAAACTCATTTCTTTGCATATAGGTAGAATGTATGAGATTTGTTTAAAATTGAAGTGTAGAGCTGGAGAGTTGAGGTTGAAGGTTTGTTGAAGAGAGAAATTTCGGGGCAAATACGTTTACAAGTAGCTATTTTTTTTAAAGTGACAAATTAAGTATCATCTACTCGGCACTTATTAACGAATCAATAATTCAAGAAGGTACATGACAGACACGGCAAGGGGTGCACACTTCAAGTAAATTAAGAAACACGAAAAGTTGGGACAAAAATATTTTCCTTTTCCATTAGTTGTGCAGAATGTGAAATAAGCGCCCTTTAGCTGTCAATCATAGACTTTTTACAAAATTCATTCGTCAGTAGCTTTTGTCACAATTTACCAAATTGGTCGAGTCAGTATTAACATATTGGGGGCTCCAGTGGCTAAGTGAGTGGTGAGTTTTGACTCCAGCAATGTCAAGCAAGTGTCGGTGACACGGGGATCAGATGGGTGGTCACTGGAGTGTGTCCTTGAGCAAAACACGACAAACCTAGCTCAAATTTCAGGGCGCTGCACAGTGGCGACCGACAGTGGCATTGTTTGTAAACTATTCTGTATTTGTGTAATAGTGTGTATTTATGTATGTATTTATGCATGTATGTATTTATGTATGAACGTATCTATAATCATGTATTTATGTATGTATGTTTGAAATGTAAAACAAAGTGCCCTTCTGGGACAAATAAAAGTGTAATTTATTATTTTATTATTACTATTTATTATATTCCTTTATGCCATCTTGCCCTTTCTCAACTACACTACCAAACCAAGTGATAGATTATGCAAACTGCCATGACAAAATCTTCTGGCTATCGATAGTGTTCGAACGGAGTCGAAGTTAGCAAAGGCAGCATTTTGTTTTGATGTAACCCTCCAGTCTGTTTTGACAAAGGCCACAGTCGTACGTGGGTCACGCCGCCTACGCGACAGGTGAACACCTCAACAGGCCACTGAATCTGCATGATTCAACCACCCATTAGCTACTGGGCTGCAAAAGTGGCACTTAGGCGGCTGAATCACGTGGAAATTGGGGACTGGTGTGATATACTCTAAGGTATCCAATAAGCCCCCCCCCCCCTCCCTCCCCTGCTTATTAATTTTCAGGGTTTTTTTGCGCCGGCCCCCCCCCCCCCCGCCCCTTTTATTCGATACCTTAGAGTAGGCAATTGATTTATTGAAGGACTGAAATGCTTTGCAGTAACCTTTCAAACTCGGGATTTCAACAGAAGGGGTATCAAAGGTTGTACTACATAATGGGATCGAAAAGTGATATTCAAAAATTTTGTCACTTAGACGGTTGAATCACGCAGCTAGCGATATGCAAGTGACTACAGAAATTCCAGCAGGGGTAGGTAAAGATTGCTTTTTATTTCTTTATTTTTATCTTTTTATTTTTTTATTTATTTTTTTTGGGAGAGGGGGGTAGTGGGGAGGTATTATGTTTCTTCACCTTGACTTTTTCTGACGTGCTCCGCTCTTTGCAATAGAGTAAGTCCCTCCTCATCGGACTCCTCACTGTCCGTGCTCTCTGTGGGGAGAACATGACACATGACCATTGTAAACATGGAACTTCTTGTATTTGTTGCATCAAATCAATGCCAATTTAGACAAAGAAAAAAAAGACATTACATTACAAGTTAGGAAAAGATATCAAATTTGAAAGTATTTTTCAATTTACTAAACACTACGATAAACCACGTAGGCCATTATCAGTGCACATAGAAGATGTACTACAGTAGTCTCCACCTAAATGCACAGTGCTCGGGAGGGCAAATGAGCGTGTGTTTATACAGAGCGCGCATTTACATGAACCTGTGCAAAGGGAGAAAGGGATGCAGTCAGCTTATTTTCCTTGGGGTTGGGGGTCACTTTGGCAGATAATGTGACAACACATGACTGTTTTGTGAAGGTTTCCCTGACTGCGGTTATGAATTATAATGAATACAAAGGCGTTGAATGGGTGGGGTCATTGTACTGATGAGCACTATAAAATGTTGGGAACAAAAAGGAAACTGTTCGAGATAGATCTAGTCATAGGGAAAAGCGCTCAGCCACGCTGCTTTCCCTACAGCCTGTCATCTATTGCAACTCGGTAAATGCATGAATGACATCAGAATCAGACATTCCCCGAGACATTTCTTTTGTGATTCGTTGAACAAGTATGCTAAAAGTTCTTCCAGTGCAGCTAATTACTTTACTAACTTTTTATCCTATTGAGGCCTATCTAGTGTTCAACAGCATTCATGTGTGTTGCGCATTACAGGCGTAACTAAACATTATGTCACTCAAACACCTATCAGAAACCTTCTCTCAAAGACGCGTTTCGAGTGACCAACCAAATGAAATTTCAGTCCTTCCCCAACATAATAATAATAATAATAATAATAATAATAATAATAATAATAATAATAACAATAATAATAATAGATAGCATTTGTATAGCGCATATCCCCGCTCAACAGCAGGCTCTATGCGTTTTACACTAAATTATTACTACAGCAAACCAAAGAACACTCCAAAACATTCTCAGCTTCCCGTGAAGCATACTGTGCAAGCAGCTGATCAAGTGCTCAAACACTAACAAACTGACAAGATCTTTCGATGTCTATAGCCGGGTACCAATTCCCACCTGGGTGAAGTGAGGAACATTCGTGTAAAGTGCCTTTACCAAGGACACAACGTCGGGCCCCTGATGGGATTCGAACCCACGACCTTACGGTTGTGAGTCCGAGAGCCTAACCACATATCATCCGACCAGTCCTAGATCTGTACCCGTGGAAAGTTGGGTGTGAAAACTCTGTCCATCACTCTCTTTGTTCTGCGTGAGGGCCAGTCTCACTAAATATACATACAAGGGGCATACCAAAAGTTATTTTACTGGACCATGAAGGAATAAAGGTAGAAAGCTGGAATTTGGGGTGAAATCCAGCAATCATCTTCCTAGAATGCATATATCAATTTTGGGGAATTTCCGATTACTGGATTTACCACCAGCACACTGTAAGTGAATGGAGGTATGTTCTCCAGTTTCAACATAAAAATGAAGAAGATTGAGCACAGGGCAGTAATGAAGTTTTTTTTCTTGCAATGCAAGCAACAACAGTATATTTTTACGAAGATGCATGCTGCATATGGAACTGATTGCCTATCCTATTATGTGATAAAATTTGGGTGTAAAAAATTCCAATGCGGATTTGTGGACATTGAAGATTGCCACCATGATGGTCGCCCAGTGACAGCAACAACAGAAGGGAATGTGTTGCATATCAAGAAACTTGTGTTGTCTGATAGGGGAGTGACAGTCAAACTTTTGAGCAAAGAAACTAGGCTTAGCATTGGATCAGTTGAGCCAATCTTTAATGAACATTTGAATATGACCAAGGTATCTGCGAGATGGGCCTCACGTTTGTTTACTCCTCTCAAAAAGTGCAATGTGTTGATTATTGTTAATAATTGCTTGGTCTGTATGAAAAGGATGAAACTAAATTTTTTGAAAGACTTGTAACCATGGATGAGACATGAGTCCACCATTACGATCCTGAGTCAAAATCTACCTCAATGCAGTGGGAATCACCCTCGTCTTGATCACCAAAAGAAGGAAAAGGTGCAGCCATCAAGAGGAAAAGTGATGCAATCAGTTTTTTGGGGATCAAGAAGGAGCGAATTTTAGTTTTTAGTTTTAGTAAAGTTTTTACGGCGCTCACAACTGCATAAGGTCATATGAGTGCCAAGGGGTGGATGTCAACAGAGAAATCGTTAGAGGGAATCAGGCTTACTCTGTTCACCTCTGTAACTTCAACAGCACAAAGTCTGCTTCAACTATCAAGGCACCCCGGAAATAGAGGGTCACAAGAGTGTGACAAACATACAAAAGAAGTACAGGAAAAATGATGATAGTAAGGATTAAGGAAGAAAAAGCAGCAGTTCCCTGTTGCAGTTCAGGCACAGTTTTGAGCATGACACTGATGAATCAGCCCATTTAAAATTCTACTGTACATAAGAACTGGCTAATGTCCTCCCTTTGGGAATGGTCTAAAGACACTTCAGTCAGTTGCACCGCCCCGGGTGGGGGGATAAGGAGTTACTTAGTTTTAGTAGAGCATTTGCCAAAAGGTGGGATACCTGGGTGTGACAAATGAGGTCCAAAATCAACTTTATGTAATAATTCTTTAATCACC